ATTGAATCATCTGTCACGCCTTCATCTGTTAAATGACTTCATTTAACAGAGTTGTTGGTGTGTGGCGGAGTTTCCCTTTTTTCCCTTTTTAGTTGATCACTGAGCTAGACACTCCCAGCAACGCCTGGGAAGGGCTTTACAGCTCAGTGTGACAGGGTGTAGCCCTGTAGTCCTGCAGCTCCTGTAGTGTGAGCTTCTGGGCTGAGTGACGTCGTCTTGATTATGATATCACCCAGCGTGCTCAAGCCATGATTTAGAAGTAGAGCTGCAACGATTAGTCGATTAATCGGTTAGTCGATCGAATTTTTAGAATCGATTAATCGATTAAGGTCATTTATCTAGTGCAAATACCAAACATTTGCTGCTTGATGCTTCAGAAATTAAAATGTTTGGTTCATGGATCATTATAAAATGAATACTTTAGTTTTTCTTGGCTGCTTGTCAGATAAGGCAAGAAAATGTAAGACATTACTTTGGACTCTGGTCACTTGTGATGGCATTTGCTATTATTATGACATTGTCTAGACTAAATGATTAATTGATCTAAAAAATTATCATTGGATTAAGCAAGACTATTAAAATAATGGTCAGTTGCAGCCGTACTTGGAAGCGTAGAAACACAGGAGTTGCTGAAAGACACGGAGTCAGTAAACCCACGTCTCTGGTCTTACTGAGCACTCCCTGTGTCTCCCCAGGTGTTGGTGGCTGGTACCTGCTTGGTATCTGCTTACCTGGCAGCCTCACGCTACAGATGGTGTCCTACTCTACTTTTCCTACTGCTCTCTCTTATTCCGAATGATCATGTTTCCCTAGCCTACCACCTTGCATTTTTTTTCTCTCACTCTCTCGGTCTCTTGCTCTCTTTCTATTATTTATGGCACTCAGTTGGATGCTTTTTTGGTAGCATGGTGTCCCATGGCACACATTTAATTTAATGAACATCACATTTAATTTTCACTTTGAACTTGGGACCTGCTGGGTCTGTTTTGGGGTGACATTGTTTTTGACACACTGCTGCTGACGAAGCCATGCTACAAGGTCATATGAGGGTGGATGCATGGATATAATTTGATACAACTATAAATGAACATTGGATATTGGATTTTTATGTTTACATGTGTCATATTTATCGGAACAACGTAGGGCTGAAAACAATCAACCTCCCTTTTTATTTAAATGTCTCTGTTTAGTGTGTGTGTGTGTGTTTATGTGTGTGTGCAGGCATGGGCGGACGCCTTCAGGAGCAGCCCTGACCTGACGGGCGTGGTCCACATCTACGAGGAGCTGAAGAGGAAAGGGGTGGAGTTCCCCATGGCCGACCTGGACGCCTTGTCTCCCATACACACGCCACAGAGAGTGAGCTGCCACACACCATGCACGCACGCACGCACGCACACACACACACACACACACACACATCATATTACGATGTACTCTCCCCTCCCCCAAGACCAATCCCCCTACCATCATTCAAGACAAAGTACCGGCTCTCATTCATGGGCTGGCTTGCTACATTGTGATGTATTAGAAGGGAATGTGAGTGATTTGGTAATTTAGCTTAGCAGACACTTCCGCTTCTCCAAAGCGCCTCTGTGAATTGAGATGCAGGTCATTCATGAGGAGGTAGATGAGGATGCCTACAGGTAGGCTGTGGACATTGGGGATCGAACCCAGTACCTTTTGGGCTGGGAGTCGTCAGAACACCCTAGACTTGTACGCTCTCCTGCCCCCTCAGCTTTGATTTGTTTTCCCCGCCTTCAGGGAATCCCAGAGGTGGACCCGGCAGTGCTGAAGTACAGAGCCCCCACCGTGACCACCACCACCACCACTCCCTCCCTCACCACCGCCGCCGCCGTCACCGCCGGCCCTCCGAGACGCACGGCCGCCTCCCCTGCGGCCCAAGTGTCACCATCGCAGATCCCCCACGTCCCCGACGCCTCGGGCCCCATCACCGCCAACCCTGAACAGGTGGGGGAACGCAGTACGACCAAAGTTAAGAGATAAGCAAAGATAACGCATTCAAAGCAGCGCCAATGGGGTGAAAATGGAACGGTTCCAGTCTCCTAAGTGGCTGGGGCCTTTACACTGGCGCTATCGTTAACACTGTGAGATCGCTGGACAAGTCTTAAAGAAACTTACGTATGACCTTTGAACTCTGGCCGCTAACTTCTTTTCTGATAGACGGTAAGAGTTGTCAGAGCCGTGGGTGTGCAGTAGTCACACAGTGGTTAGTCACCATTACAGGGTTGGGGACTGGGTGTAGCCAGTATTTTTTTTAAAAGAAGAAAATAATTTCATCTGAAGCACATCTGTTTGTTATTTGTATTATTCTAGTTATTTAGCTGATGCTTGCATCTGAAACAATTAAAAGAGCATGACGAAAGAGCATGACGTGTATGCTGATTCAGCAACTTAATATGCTTTGAATGCATGCAGCTAAAGGTGACCTTTGAACCTTTCTCTTCCCCTCCAGATCGGCAGGCTGCGCAGTGAGCTGGACGTTGTGAGAGGAAACACCAAGGTCATGTCTGAGATGTTGACCGAGATGGTTCCCGGACAGGAAGACTCCTCCGATCTGGAGCTGCTGCAGGTTAATAAGTACTTGATAACTTACTTAGTAAGCACTTAATAACCACTTGGTAAGCACTTAATAGCCACTTAATACATAATGAGGGCGGTGTTCCCTCAGAAGATGACACACAGTCTGTGTGGTAATTTACGCCTTTTATCCAAAGCGTTTTACAAAGCCATAAGCGCATACATTTTTGGCATGGGTGGTCCCAGTGGGAATGGAACCCCTAACCCTGGCAAAGTTAATGCCGTGCTCTACCAGTTGTGCTAGGTTGGTGTGGGCTGCTTCTGACTGCTTTCTGTCTGGCTTTAAAAAAGGAAGCAGTTTTAACGATATCTTTTTTTAATGTTTGGGCCGGTTTATTTGCTGCCACTAGGGGGAGTAGTGTCTCCATTTATTGTACTTCACCTATGAGGTTTGGTCGAATTTCTACAACTGACTTTTAACAGTGGCACCAAAAATATTGGCTCAGAAGGTAATCCGCTCAGGCTAAATCCTCCCTAGGATTTATTTATGGTACATATCGTCTAGCACAACTGTAATGTTTAAATACTTGTGCAATTTTTTCCAGGCAATATATTGTTGATTAGATACAACTGTTGAAAACATATACATATTGCCATGTATATCAAACCCCTGGCTTAACAACTATATCAATGTGTGAAATCAATGACTTGAAAATGATTCTAACAATGATCTGGATTTATCTCTTGGTGACTGTTCAGACTATCTTCCAACCATTAACATGGGTGTTAGTATCTTCCATCTGCCGTTGCGCCATTTTGCTCTGCCTCATCAACCAATTCATTTAATGAGCTGAACAAACAGGGGAATGTTGACCACTGGCCATTATTTTACAGTAATACTGTGTGTGTGTGCGTGTGTAGGAGCTGAACAGGACGTGCAGGGCCATGCAGCAGCGGGTGGTGGAGCTGATCTCCAGGGTCTCCAACGAGGAGGTGACGGAGGAGCTGCTGCACGTCAATGATGACCTCAACAACATCTTCCTGCGCTACGAGAGGTCACACACACACACACACACACATACATACATACATACATACATACATACATACATACATACATACATACACACTGTGTAAAGTTCACTTTGTGGGGTCCTCAGATATCCAATCATATTCAATGTAGACCGAATAGTTGGAAGGATTTATTGTTAGGATTTGAATTATTTATTTTAACCCTTCAGACAAATTTTGTGATTTAGTTGAATGCGTGTTCAAAAAGTGGAAATGAAAAACCCCCAGCTGGTAAGCATTTTTGAATATTTGTAATCTATGCGTAGAAATTACAGTAACGATTTGCGTTAATGGTATCATTTGCGGATGTGTGGGTAATAATGGATGCCTCAGGATTAAATGGACACTGGTAGGTGGATGGCAAATGATCCCCGTGCACATCTTGACATTTTATTGCATGTAACTGATGATAATGGAGTGTTAAATATTTCCAGTCTTGGTGGGCAATCGTATATCATACATTTGCCAATATTCCCACCATAATTGGCATATCACTGCTTTTCCATGGGGGAAACAGTCTGCAAACATGTGCATTTGCATTCAAATACACATGTTCAAAAGTCAGGAAACTGTAAATCTCCTTTTGTAAAAGGGAGAGAAAGCTGCCTTCTGCTTGAAATAGATAGGAAATGTAAAATGAAAGCCAATTGTTAAGATGTGGCTGGCCTGTTGTGTTTTTGTTCACAGATATGAAAGGTACCGGACTGGTAGAACTGGACAGAACAATGGGGTGAGTACATAAAACATCCATAGACCTCCACAGAAATCCTCCTCATAAATGTCTCTGTTAAAATGGCATTTATTGTTTGAATGAAACAAACATGGAAATGTTTGTCATTTTCCAAAGTCTATTGAATAATTTAATCTATATTCCAATTAAATGGAATAATCACAAAACGCCATATTTTCATACACATTCAAATACTCTCATATTTGTTTAACTGGATTATTTGTTTGAATAGCGGCTTAACGTGCAATGTTTGGCAGTAAAATGTGGAAATGTTGGATTCATTGAATGCAACACAGCACCCTGTTGTTACCGGGAAGACAATGGCTTGCGTACACAGCTTCACGCTAATCGTATTAGCCCAGGAGAAGACCGACCATTCATCTGCTATTTACAGTAAAATCCTGCCAGTAGCAGTAACTGTGGTCAAACATTCTGCTTTTCCCGTAATGACTGTCTGACAGGGCTGATTTACTCTGTGTATTGCTGTTATTTGTCTTCTTCTACTCTGCTTGTTTTGTGACGACTAGAGGAGGCGAGTATAGCACAGCCCAGTCGCAGAGCGCTTTCCCTGGTCTGAACGGCAGTGATTCAGGTTGACACCTGTCTTTGTGTGTGTGTGTGTGTGTGTGTGTGTGTGTGTGTGTGTGTGTGAGCGATAATTGCAGGGATAGGATGTGTTAGGGTGGTTAGGGTGTTTGACTCCCAATCAAATGGTTCTGGGTTCAAACCCCGAAGTCTGCACTGCAGTCTACCTGCAGACAATGTTGAGCAAGATGCCTAACCCCTACCTATCATTAATTGTCATTAGTGAAAATATCAACAACAACAACAAAAATCACTTTAAGTTGCTTCGGATGAATGAGTCTGCTAATTGAGATTGATTTCTGTTCACGCACGAGAGAGAGCGAGAGAGAGCGAGAGAGCGAGAGAGAGAGAGAGCGAGAGAGACTTGGAAATCATCATGAGCACGCACCAACCCTTCCATAGCAATCTATATGGCCACTGTCATTGAAAAATTAATCCTTACACTAATATATCACAAATTATATAACCTACTTTATTACTAGTTAATTAATCACACTTTGTATAAGTGTGTCCTTGCAAGTGTCCTTGCACCTAGCGGGAGCTCCGGTCCTTTCTCCATCTGAAAGATCACCACTGTAGCCAAGATGTGTTGTCAATGAACTGGGTTTAGTTTAGTTAGTTTAGACCGTGAGAACCTCTTTTGGTTTGTGTTTCTTGGCATCCTTTGATGTTTGTGCATAAAATGTGACTATAAAAGTCACGTACATTTGTTTCTTCATTGAAGACGCTCGGTAAATGCTACCGATGTGTCTTCCCTTGACCATGCTCCATTAAATCAAATACTTTGCAGTCAAGACGGGTCCTACAAGAAATATTTTTTAATCAGCTAGTAAATTCCCTTTCTCTCTCTGTCAGATGTTGAGTGAGGCCACAGAAGACAACCTGATAGACCTCGGCCCGGGCTCCCCCGCCGGGGCCAACCCTCGGGCCGCCGCCAGCCCCCCTCCCGCCTCTGCCCTCATGGGGGCCACGGCCTCCCCTCCACACCAACCCCCCCCCACCACCACCACCACGCTGTCGTCAGCACTGGATGGACTCAGTAAGTATGGAATTACAGAAGTGGGCGCTTTAGCATTAGGTACATTTAATGTGGTCGGTCCTGTAAACCCGAGCATGCAGTTTTACACGCACGCATGCGTGCACACCAACACACACACAGGCACACACGCACAGTAATACAGACTCTCTCTCACACACACACACACACACACACACACACACACACACACACACCAGCACCCTTGTACTCAGTTTCTACCCAGAGCTCATAACTCACGGCGGGTCTCTGCAGACCTGACACTGGAAAGGCAGCAGAATGTAAAACTGGCTCCTAATCTGGCGACTCAAACAAAAAACTTTCCCACTTCATAATTCACCAACCCCCTCCCCCCCCCACCCCCAACTCCCCCGTTGCCCTCTCTATGAAAAACAACCTCTCCACTCCAAGAGTGTGCTGCTGATTTTGGGGTTAAGGAGAATCTCATTGGCTGTGCCGTAGTGGCGGAAGATGAATGGGTGACCACACCCACTGGGGTGGTCGGTCCAATGAGCTGCTTTTTAAGGGTAAACGCGGGGGACCCCATCCAGCTCCCCCCCCCCCCCCCCCAGTACCTGTTTTATGCTTGACAGGCGAGGGGCTGTGCAACCAAAGGGACGCCACACGGAAAGACACGCCTGGGCACAACTACGCTGGCATACAATCCAGTGCTAATGAAGACCATGTAGACATAGACATCAGGTGTCCATGCACTGCCCCCCTACCTACGAGAGAAGAGTATAAACAGGGTACCCACAAACAGAGGTATTAAGAGTGTTTAAAAGTCTGACATTCAAAAATGTCAATTTAAAGCCTTAAAGGCATTAAAAGGGTATTCAAAAGTCTTAAATTGAACTGCTTGAAACCTGCAGATACCCTGATAAAAGCTCTTGCTTTTATCAGCTCTCTCATCACAATTCTGCATCAGCTCATGTACCTCCTCCTCCCTGTCCCTCTTCTCCTTCTTTAGATGTGGGGTCGGACAGCGTGAGCAGTACCCTGTCCTCCATCTCGTGCCGGAACCCGGATGACTTCGACATGTTCGCTCAGACCCGGAGCAGCTCGCTGGCCGACCAGCGTAAGAAGTAAGCGGCGTCTTGTGGAAACACACCGGTATTTTTTTTAAACGGGACACCCTCGTTCAACAGGAATCACGAGTTTAATGGCATCGTCAATACATTATATACAATAAGTGGGATAATGTCATTATTCCGAAATAAACCCTGGAGTTTATTTCGCAATAATGACCCGCTGGCTGTACATCATCCCTTACATTTCATATACCAATATCCCTCCAAGACGATAAGTGATGATATATGTTCATTGAATATTTGCTCTGAACAACGTATTATGCTATGTGCTTACAGTATGAAGTATGAAGACCCTCAAGCTCTGGGAGGCCTTGCCTCGGCTCTGGACGTCAGACAGCAGAACACGGGAGGAGGGGTGAGTTGGAGTCTCTATGGGGGGTGGAGCTGGGGGCGGATGGTGTTTACACACACCTGGATGTATGCCTTTGCAGTGCAGTGTTATCTAGATTTGCATATCCCAATGCGTTCCCTGTGCCCAGTCCCAGCCATCATGCATGTGAAGTAGAGCTGGTCGATCTTGGCGAAAACAATAATCCCAATTGTTTGGGTCAAGATTGAGATCACGATTATAAAGATGGTTATTCATTGATATTATGGGAAAAAAATGATTGTAATGTTGTTTTTTACACAGAATGCTTCAATATGCAAGTTAGCTAAAGTTAGCTCAGCCCGGAGCTTTGTGTGTTGTAAAGTTGTGAGCGAGTGAAAACGAGGCGCACGCCTTCAAACGGCTCCCGCTCTAAACATCGAAAAACCACATTTCTAAATAGAGTTCTACTGAAATTGTTTTGTGTCAATTGTCTGGTATTTGTGATCCTGGGATGCCCAGATCGTAATCACGATCAAAATTTGATTAATCGACCAGCTCTAGTTTGAAGGTCAAACTTGTGCTGCTGGGGGAAGGACATCACTAGACCACCGGTACTGGAGTTGTGTTTGTGTGTTGTAATTGCGAGGGTAGCCATCTTGTTGCTCTGTGGCAACTGCAAGTTATCAAGTCTCTTTTTCACTATTCTTATCAAGTCGGTTGGACATTTGTTCCGGTAAGCAGATTCGTTCTGTAACTTTCACTCTTCACTGGGTTCTGTGAATGTCTTCTTTCACCTGATCTTCTTAATCCGACTTTTGTTGACACACACAAACACACAAACACACACACACACACACACACACTGATTTGGTCTGTTTGCACTTGGAATAAAAGCATAGACACAAACTAGTTTCATCAGTGTGTGCTCCAACACAAGCGGGGTGTGTTGGGTGTTGACTATCACAATGTACACAAGAATTTTTTTTTTTTTTGTGTACATTGTGATTTCTGTTTTTTTTAAAGGTGAGTGCACTGCAAACTCATTGATTGTGTACACACACACATTGCCACACATTGCCAGTTACCTCCGATGCCCTGTGCCCAATCTCGTCATTCCCTGGAAAAGGTTTAAAGGTTGTTTCTTCTTTCTGCTTATCTTATCTTTATTTATTTTTTTCTCATGACCTCACCTCACTCAGTCTGCCTGCCTATCTACTGTTTCCTCACCTTCTCTGAATGACCATCTTCTTTCACACATTAGGCATCTGCTCCACGCTACACACGCTGTGTGTGTTCTGGTGCGGCGGTGGGACTCCTCTTTCATCTTTCTTCTCGTTCTTACGCTAAGGTGTTGTTCTGTTGTTGATTCAGCTGAGGGTAAAAGGGGATGAAAACCCAGCAGAGCAGGAGCTGCCCATAGACAGCTGGCTTATTACCCAAGGAATGGTGAGGACCCCATGATCCCGCTAGTGTACCCTCCTACATCCACCCCCCCCCCCCCCCACGTCCTCCCTGTCCTCATAACGTCCACTATTATTGCCACCACCGCCTCACTCCACCCCACCCCCCTCCACCAACATCGCCTGTTAACTCTCATCAACTGCTCCATCATCTCCGGTTCCAGCCCCTAATAGGCCCCCTGCTGCCAACAGTAGAACAGTCAGATTTCTCAAGGTGAATCCATACTCTTCACCAGGGGTGGGAATCACAGAGTGACTCACGATACGATGCTATCGCGATACGTTGCCCACCATAACCATAAAGCATTGCAAGACAGTTAATCTACAACGCGATCATGATATCTGTGTAACTGAAGAAGAAAAGAAAGAAAAGAAAAACGAATCCATGTAGAGCATGTTTTGATAGAAATATCGATATTTGACGCTGGTGTATTGACAACGTATTGCAAGAGGAAGTATCAAGATGTATTCCAGTATGGGTATTTTGTCCCACCCAAACTACATGTAATTTGGTGGACACTTGTGCTATCCAAAGCGTCCTACCACGGGGGCGTACATTCTTAGCATCGAGTGGCCCCAGTGGGAACAACCTTGGCAGTGTTAATGCCACGCTCCATTGAGCTACAGACGGGAGGACCACTTAAGCATGTACACACACCTTGTACACCTTTTACTTTGGCTTCGGTCAGCCTCGATTTCTAAAATGACGCCACACCTATGCTAAGGGAACTTCAAGAGCTCACGCCCTTTCAGTTTTTTACTCGTCCTCATCTGGGTGGGTGGATTGAGGCTCATGGGGATCTGAATAAAATCTACAAATATACAGTTTGAAGGCTGTTAAACATATGCATAATCATTGTAATGTGATTGTGATTATAATGTCACAAAATGCTAACAAGCGAGAAAACATGTATACAGAAAAATGTCGTTGCTAGGAGGAGGGAGGGCTAGCATTTTGTAATCAAAAGAAAATATGTTGTTACGGTGATTCTGTTTTGTGAGAAGTGTGGTGGGAACAAGACAAACATGACACCATAAACACCTTGCACAGGTTATTAGAACACGGAAAATCAACCGCAGAATTTGTTGGCAAAGGAAATGAATGCGTTTTTGTCCTTGTGCCACAATTTGCTGGCCGCATAAAATCTCGTGCTCATGGACCACTTCACTAGTGGTGGGCATGAGGCATTCACGACTGTCTTCTCTACTGTTGGTTCTTCTTCATGTTGTTTTGGTTTTCCCTCTCACACCCTTCGCTG